AGCAGAAGTGGGTCAGCTGCCTCTCTACGCTCTTCACACTCCCACTCATCCATTCTGAGGGAGAATGTATTTGAGCACATCTGTGCTGGCATGCGGGATCCTTGCCTACAGGCGTCTTTGGATCAAAAGCAAACAAATAATTAGGGTACGCGCTAAAAACAGTTCATCCGGCTAACATGAGTGTCATTTTCTTGTGTAGAGAATGTGTGCGTCTACGCAACATGAGACCTTGACTATTTTAATGAGCTGGAGCACGAATCAAATATATTTATTTTATTTCCATCCCTGATGAATTTCATCTGAAACAGCGGTGCTAATTTTACCAGACAGCCACCCTGTAGATTGAGTTACAGGCATGTGCACTTCATCTAATTGGGAAAATGAACCTCAAGCTCAAATTGACTCATGTTTGTAGAGTCCTAGCAGATACAAATTGGTGAGCTTTCTGGTAATTGTGCCATTCATATCTGAACCACATCAAGGCACTGGATTTCTACAAGTCCATTTATTTTGTATTGTGTGTGTTTCAACATCAAAGGTTGAGGTTTGCACAGTCTGTCAAAATTTAAAAATCATTGCAAAACAAGTCATCCTTACCGTAATACGGTTTGACACCTTTGTTCAGGGGACCAACACACGACAGTGGGATGGTTTGGTTGCGGTTTGGTAGATGTTGTTTGTATGGTTTTACAAACCTTAATACCTTTAAGGTACTCCTTCCATAAATCACAATGAAAAGTCATGTTTTTGTTACCATATACAACGTGAAAAAGAATTGACAGATTTTCAAAATGCTCAGGGAAAGCCACTAGTAGGGCTGGGCGAATGATCATTTCTTCATGTTGTCCAATCTTAATTGTTGTCAAGATTTTTGTTATACTATTGTTAAACTGCCCGTTTTAAAGCACCAGTTCTGAAAACTAAGGAAATTAGAGAGCAGTTCATGATTTTATTAACTTATGTCTATTTTGTAAAATCCTAAAAGAGATAAACATAGACTAATATTTAAAAAAAATACTCAACAGTATGACAATACTTAACTACATAAAATAACACAGTGACTGACCTTACATTCTTGTTTGTTTATGTAGGTTTGCAAGATTCAAAATAAACCAACACCTCTGGAAGAATGAAGGTGCCCAAGAATGTAAACATGATCATTTTTAAGCCACTCTCTTCTGGCTGCAAGAATGTCAAAGAAAATAGGCCAAAGGGCAGTTATCCTAAAAGGACAAGAGAAACAAGTAACATTGGTATCAGAATAACTTGACGAAATATGTACATCTCAATGTTAGGTGGACAGTTGGAGTAAAATAGAAACAGTGAATAGAAAAAGATTAAATTTGCGTGGCATTTTTCTAATCGCATTGCTTGGAAACAGATGGGGGAGGGAAATGTTGCCTGATGCTGAATCATTGTCACCAGTGAACGATTGTTCCTAAGAATGGTCATCGACCACACAACATGACGTGAGCATGACAAATTCCGTCGTGTGCTCAATGACTGCATGATAGTTTGGATTATTTCCTTATACTACACCATAAATAAAAGCTTCAGTGCAGAAGACGAACTAATATAGCCAATGAAGTCATCTCTGATTAAGTGCCTCCATACAATTTCCTGAAAACCACATGCCCCATTAAAAGGAGGAAGTGTTTGTCCATAGATGGGATGGAAAGTGCCTGTGCCTGCCTAAGATTGCACCAAGGTGTCAAATACTAACTGCTTGGTCAAACAAAGACAGTTAAACACACAGCTACACAACTGGGGGAAAAGTAAATGTCCAATGTAACAGTATAAACAGGTTGGAGAAGCACAGCACATTCACAAGGCCAGTCTGGTGAGTTTTTAAAGCTGCAACTGTGGACCCTGCGCAGACAGTCCCGACAAATAGGCTTCACTTCTTTTATGTATATGTACAATGGCTTTTCATTATGGTGCTGCATTTGTAAAGACACATCAGAGTTTGTATCTGTGAAACCAAATCTATACAGTCTTCTCCATTTGACTGATTGTCCATTATTACCAACATAACTGATGGATATTTTGTTTGTTCTGTAGTTTGAGATAAGATATTGGGAATCTATGCTTTGTCATTTTAATACACAAGGCGTCCAAATAAGGCTCGAGAGATATTTACTCTGGGACTGACAGGCCACATCAAGTGAGTTGGTAGGCCAGTTCTGGCCCTGGAGGTCTTGATCTCGATACCGGTTCCTTAGATTAATGAAAAAGTACAGTGTGACCACTAAATGTCTGTACAGGTTAAATCTCATCCATCAACAGCAAGTGAGATATCAAAATCAGATTTAATTAAAAAGTATTTATTCATATTAATTCTGTATATTCCAGATACCAAGGGGATGAAATGGATTATGTTAAGAACACTGCATACAAACTTAATAAATGCTACTCAAGAAAAAGCACAATGTGCATCATGGTTTATTGAAAAAAAAATAGGTAAGTAGAATCAGCAAAACTACGGGATTACTTATGAAAGACATCTGCCTGTGTATCTCTACATTTGTGCATGAGACAAGAAATGCACCAGCTACGGGGACTTTTTCAAATGCTTTGTGCAACTAAAGCTCCCACAGAAAAGGCACAAAAAATAAAAATCCTCATGTTATAAATTCCACATGCTTGATGTTGTAGTAAATTTGTACAGAGATAATGAACACCATGTATATCATAAATGCACCTTTCCAGGTTCAAAAGTAGTACTTGGAAAATAAATACTTTTGTACGCTAATAACTCCAGACTTTTTTTGTCATAGGAACACATCTACGCCTTTTGGTCCTTGGAAAAGGACCTAGGTGTGCAATAAGCAATTAGTGTACATTGTAGACGACACTTGTCTCCATATTCTTAAGTAAAAGCAGCTCTATGGGTCAATGAATCCAATTCTCATCCAAAAGGAATCTATACATGACTTCTACATAGTTAAAGTAGTGCCACACAAACTGAGACAACCGTACTATTGTCTGCCACTGTCGGGCACAATGAGAGGCTTTGCAGCGTTGCAGAAGAACAACACAGTACGTTCGCACCGACAAGTACACATGCACACACGCGTGGGTCTGACAAGAGGGTTGAACACATGGCCACAAATGAGCTTTACTCACCCATGAGCTCTTTGGGGACCTCTGACACGTCCTCGCTCATTTTGTGCACACTTAAGTATCCAAACAACACGACGCGGAGTTTTTTTCCCCCGTTGGGATCGGAATGAAGGCAAAAGAGGGAGAAAGCCAAGTCGTAGGTGGTACCACACTGCCGCCTCGCCGGTGCTTCTCTTGCCGGTTACATTCTCCTCTCCCCTCGCAGTGTCCGGACAATATGTTGGCGATGATCGGTGGAGAGCATCGCTTTGTGATTCAAGCGGCTTTAAGATGACGTGAGCTGGAGACACAAAAAGTACACGGCAGAGCCCAGATGTACCGTATCTCCGGAGGCACGACGGGACAACATCCTCTGTCTCTGTCTTCCTACCGTAAAGCTGTCGGTGGTAGTTCCGCGGCAGCCAATGGTGGAGACCGGGAGGCTCGGCCCCTCCCAAGCGGGTGATGAGACGGTCCGAGAGCCGATCGTGGCGTGGCAGGAGGGGGCGGTGGTTTGCCTGGCGTCAGAGGGACGATAGGCAGGCTGCTACCTACTATACACGGAGAACCAGAGAGAGAGAGATCTAGCTGAGCTTAACGGCTCCTCCAAAGTCCAAACCTCAGGCGATGTGAACTAAAGCCCTTCCATTCGACAGTTATCATCTAATAATATTTTGAAACCGAAAGAAGTATAGTTTGACTAGAGTTGTTGTTTTTAATCACCTTAAAAGACAACAACAGTGTAAACACATATGTCTGCTTTGCTTGCGTTTTTTCTTCATGACAATCAATTAAGTAGAGAAAGGGGAGAGTGACATCTTGTGGTTTTTAGGGGAATTGCAGAGGGGGCTGCGTTTTGCAGCTAACCATGACGTCGCACGTATTCCGGGTGGCAAAAGCCGAAAAAGTATGCTCAAATGATTCGACGTTGAAAAGCGAATTTTAACTATTCGGAATTAACATTGTAAATGTCACAGATGTCTTTCTGGCTTGTTTCAAGTACATTTTAAATAGCTGAAATTTTCATTCACTCACCTCCCTTGACTCGCATATGAACTTAAGTGTCATATTTTTCTTAATTCATAAATAAACCAGGTTTATCCCACCATTTTTCATGAGGGCGGCGGGGGGGGGGGGGCACATTGGACCCGCACGTCCCAGATCGAAGAAAAAACTGCTATTTTAGTATAGACGAAATACATGCAAAATATGTGCTCTTAATATATTTCATTTTGGGAAAATATATTTTTCCCAACAGACAAACAAAATAACCAAATACTGTAAATTTTTGTAATGTAAATGGGACTCTTGCATACAAAAAAAAAGAAAACATTTGTGTGTAGCTAAACACCAAAATAACCAAATACTGTAATTTTTTGTAATGTAAATGGGACTCTTGCAGACAAAAAAAAAAGAAAACATTTGTGTGTAGCTAAACAACCAACACGAAGTGCACGAAGTCATTTTCGACTGGTTAGCGCGTCGGCCTCACAGTGCAGAGGTACAGGGTTCGATTCCGGCCCGGGCCATCATGTGTGGAGTTTGCATGTTGTCCCCCGCCCCCGCCTCCTGCCCGAAGACAGCTGGGGTAGGCTCCCGCACGGCCGTGACCCTTATGAGGAGCACAATCAAGCATATGCGGTTACTGCTATTTATTGTTGAAATAATCAATATAATGTTGAGGATCTAACGCTATATCTATATGTGCCCCATTCCTCCTGGTGAACTGATTTTAAAAGAAAAAAGAAAATGCTATTAAGATAACATAAGATAAGATAACCTTTATTTGTCCCACACTGGGGAAATTTGCAGTCTACAGCAGCAAAATTCGGCGTGGAAGAAAAAAAAAATCACTGTGTTTGCGAGTCTTAATAATATCTAATCACAGGACAGTGCAATTTTTGCAAAATCTAATATTTATTCAGATTCACTTTAAGTCCTGGCTTTTTCAGCTATCAATCAAGGAATACAGCTTGTACAATTACAATCGGAACACATTTGATTGTTGCAAATGTTATCATTTTGAAATGTACAGTCGTTAGTCAAATGAGAATAAATGTGTTAAGGTACAGTTTGGTTGCTGCCCCTCAATCACTTTGAGTCTCTTGTACAGCTTCTCTGCCATGGACGTGAGCCGACAAGCCCTCAGCATGCGCGGCAGAATCTCCAGCTCCTTCTTTGGGGCCTTCTGGAGCCACTTTCTGATTAGATGCAACAAATGAGGTCGCCGCTGATGTTGAGTCAAGGAGAAGTGTATGGGGCGGCTTTCCAGCCCTGACTTAGCGATATATCTGTTGGAGAAGGAGTTAAATGCTACAACGAACCTGCTGTAAATACTTCTGAGAACTTATTAGATTTTGGTTCACCTGTTAAAAAATCTTATCATTTTCCCCAAGCGTATTCTGTGCATTCCAAAGAATCTTGACAAGAAGGTCCTGAGTCGCTCACCTGGAAAGGAAAGCCGAAGAATGAGTCAAATCCAGAAATATTCAGAATTCTTCCCCCAAGGAGGTCATATATTTTGTTGCGTTTTTTTGTTTCTTTGTTTTTGGTTCGAATGATTACAAACACATGAAAACAATGCAGAATGTGTTGAAGAGTGGGAGAGGGCAAATAACAACCCATTCAATTTTGCTGTGATAAATGCATGGGGGGGGAAATCTTCGTTAATTCATTTGTTTCTTAGGTAGCAAAATTACACATTTAACCACAATGCTAACTTGGGGAAAGACTGGGCAAAGGCCAGGGATGAATCCAATCAATTTTGGTGGTGCGATCCAGACGTGGATCCAGGATTATTGTTCATACTTCCACCAACAAATTCAGCAATGTGTATTTGTTTGGTCAGATAAATCAGATTGCAATTTTCACACAACCAACGAAGAATCTCTTCAAGTGCTGATGGATTAAATATGTGTATCTAGGATTATCAGGAGGTAGTTGTCGATGAAAATGTAACATATGGTGCTGATCCAAATTAGGATTGTTTTGCCTGAGAAGAGGTCTGAGCTCTACTAAAATGTTCTGATTTTAACAAAACACAGTTGGCATCATCACTTATTGCAGCGCTTTTAGTAAAGTGTGAACATGCTGTGTAAAAAAGTGAGAAACATTTGTCCCAATTTAAGTATGTACCAAATTCATGAAATAGTCAAATCAAACAAGACTCCAAGAATGTTACGTGGTCCTACATACAGGAAAAAAAAAATACCTCCATTTGCAACGTCCTCACAGAGTCCACACATCGTGTCATGGGCTGCGGAGCCATTGAGGAGCACAAGCTGCCCATTGACACACTCCTTGTGCTTGGCACATGACTCCATTGCAGAGGAAGAGGCGGAGAAGAAACCGTCGGAGCACATTTGACAAACTGTGTCATTTTGTGATGTACCTAAAAAACAAAAGTCTTTAGTTATCGTTTGTTCTCATTAGTCACTGAATTAGGCCAATCCCAGATGAGTTTGGACGAGAGGCGGGGTAAATCCTTGACTGTACGGCAAATAAAGATAAACAACAATTTACCACCAATGAACACATTCACAGTGCAGTCAACATACATGTTTTTGAATCATGGAGAAAACCCACGCAAGTTTCGGGAGAACATGCCAATTCCACACAGTATAAGGTCTGAGCTGACAGTCAAACAATCGCCTGAGTTATGAGGCAGACTTGCATACGGCTAGTCCATGTTGCCATACTAATTTCTCTGGAGAACAAGTTCTGATATTAAGTTGTTGAGGGGCAGGATGACTTATCTTGGTAAGGGTATATCAAGGAACTCTGGACCTTTCCTTTCTAGAAGTTGTTAATTTTGGACTTCCCGGTTTTAATTAACGCAGCATGAGTGGGATATGCCAGGACCTTTCATTTACTGAGCAAGTACAAAATCCTTGTGCCCCACGGAATCTGCCGAGGAACAAGAAACCGACAAATGGCGTTTTCTGTATCTACGATGAAAATGCCACAGTGCGTGGTGTACGGTTGTACCAAGAAGTCTGGAAGAAGTGCTACATGCATAGTGATTGGATGTGATTATAAATTTTGTATATCTCCGAGTGCTACACAAAGATGTGTTTGTATCATGCTGTCAGAACCAAGAATGAATGAAATGAAAGCAAGGTCTATGAGGAAAAAAATGCCGTGAAATGTAAACCTAACCTTTGTAAATCACGATTCATTAAACTGAGAAAGAGAGAGAGAGAGAGAGAGAGAGAGAGAGAGAGAGAGAGAGAGAGAGAGAGAGAGAGGCGGGTTGGATGTATGGATGGATACAGTAGATAGATAGATATAGAGTTATTTTTACATCATTCTAATTTTTAGCAGCAAAAAAAAAAAAAAATCTAAAAGCCGTAAAAGTTTGTCCCATAATTTATAGGCTATGTCCTTTTTATTTACTAGCTACCCAAAACGTTGAAAATGATGAAAATAAGCACCTCTAGTAAGAACGCCATATCCGTGGGCACACTCCGTGTGTTTATTGCAGTAGTCTTCCGTCATGTAGTAGCCCTCCTTGCAGCGACACACTCTATTGTTGCGAGGTCCACACTCGGTCTCGACCTCCTTGTCGCCGGTGCAGAATTTGTTGCAGTACAGGCACTTTGGTAGGTAGTTCCACAGCTCCGTGAAGTGTCCGCCTCTGCACGGCGCGCACTGCGTTTGAGTGGCGGCCGTGCAGTGGGCGGACAAGTACGTGCCGGGCGGACACTTGTTGCACGCGAGCGTCTTCCCCGTGGACGGATCTCTGTACTCGAAAGTGAGAGGCGACTCCGTGGCCGATTCATAGCAGTGAACCCCACACAGTAGCAGCAGAAGCAGCAGAAGGGATGACAGGGTCAGCTGAGGAGAACAAGTTCGAAAACATGAGTCTGCAGTTTTCAGTCTTGGATTAGGGCCAATGAAGAAAAAAAAAACAAGGTTGGCAAGATTCTCACTTTTATCTCAGAATTCTCACTTTAAAGTCAGAATTCTGACTTTATTCTCAAAATTCTGACTTTCATCTCAGAATTCACTTTATCCTCAGAATTCTGACTTTAAAGTGAGAATTCTGAGACAAAAGTGAGAATCTTGCCAACCTTGTTTTTTTTTCTTCATTGGCCCTAATCCTCTTCCGTATTAAACGGTCAGTTTGGTCAGTTTTTTTCTTCAGTAAAAGTCAGAATTCTGAGATTAAAGTCAGCATTCTGAGAATAAAGTCAGAATTCTCACTTTAAAGTGAGAATTCTGAGACAAAAGTGAGAATCTTGCCAACCTTGTTTTTTTTTCTTCATTGGCCCTAATCCTCTTCCGTATTTACAAGTGACTGTGAACGCAACGCCGTTTTACACTTACCATGGCGATGTTGAGCATATCATGCGTGCACTGGGATGCTTTGTCATACACTTATATAGCTGCGAGCACGGAACAAATTACTTTTCTCTCGAAAGGTCAAACCACTTCTACTTCGATGTATAATGGGAAGTGTTTTAATTCCCGACCATGCACAACTGCACGTAAGAAAACTTGGTATGTGTCCAAAAAACAGACCGTCTTTGACTGGAATTGAAGTTCAAGCGTCACCTATGATCATTGTCAAATATGAAAATAGTTACTTATGTCTCACAAATGAAAAAATAAATATTAGCATAGTAGAAACGTTGACTTATTTCAATTTGAAAGGTGAAACTCATATATAGTTTCAGTCTGAATCATTCACACACGCATATATATATATATATATATGGATACCTCTGCACTGTCTAGTAAATTTTTCTGCACTGAATACTTTCTTTTTTTCAATCAAACTATGTGATGATCATTCTAATTTATTTAGGGTCATATGTATAATACTGTATTTTAGATTAAATCATGCGATGATGTCTTGAGATTACTTTCTCACATAATCATTCTCGAAAATCAAAACACTTGTATCTTAATTCATTTCCACTGCCTGGAAAGGAATGGAAATGGCATTAATCTATTCGGGCCACCCCCAATAAACATTTTTTTGTAATGTGTTTTAATAAGGAAAATTCATTCAGAAAATTAATTCAAACTTTATAACTTTATTGTAACATATACTGTAGTATCATAACTGAATGGAATGTAAAGAATTAACACTTTGTTCATCAGGATTCACTAAAGCCTCTACTTTAGCAACAGGATTTAGAACAGTAATCCATGTCTTCGTTGCATCTCGCCTGGTTTTCTGAAATGCACTTTATTTTGGAGTCAGCCAGTCCTCCCTCAAGCATCTCCAGTTGGTCCAAAATGCTTGCCTCCAAATTCCAAATCTACCCTCCGTCTCTTGGCTAATGGTCTCTCCCCCACCTTACATCTCTGAGCTCCTCCACCGCGACGTACCTGCCTGCTGGAACCTCAGAGGGGATTGAGTTTTTTTTTTTCCATTGCTGGTCCCTCCCTTTGAAATGACCCTCCATTAAACGCGAGGCAAACCCTCTCAATGTCCGTCTTTAAAACTTGTCTTGAAACGCATGTTTATTTTTGGGCTTTCGACCCAGCAGGAGACTTGGTATTGTTTTCATGTTTTATTGTGTTTATTGTTTTTATGTTAAGCTATTGTTTTCACTGTCTTTGTTTTTTGTGTATCTGATGTTTTTTTCTGTATGTGAAGCTGTGGTTGTTTTTAAAGTCAACTTGGTCACTGGGGGCAGTATGATAACGTCATGCAGACACAAACGAAGACTTTCACAACTACCGGTACTCTGAATGACTCTGTGAGCTGTAGAAATGTTTGTCTCCTTCACAGAGGGCAAAGAATAAAGGACCGTGAAAGAGGTTCTATTGTTTGTCTACTGGAACAGTGTTTTTCAAACCCTGTGCCGCAACACACCGGTGTGCCGCAAGACATTGTCAGGTGTGCCGGGAAAATATCCGATTTGTATGCCTGTGCGGTCTATCGCCCATAAAGTAATCATGTACTACCCACCAATACCACTAGGGAGCAGCAACAGCTAGCCAATTGCCTTTTGTTTAGACGAGAGACAAGCGAATTTGTGACGCATGAATGCAGGACGACGGTGAAACAATAAATGTGAAAGATGATAAAATACATTTTTTCTTTGTGTTCATTTGATTCCAATTCAAACTGTTATAACGTCATTCTTCAATGTTAAAGATGGTTATAGTAACAATATAACATGTTAATTGTGAAAATAAGCGTTTTTTTTTTCAGCTAGCGGTGTGCCGCGAGATTTTTTTCAATGAAAGAAGTGTGCCTTGGCTCAAAAAAGTTTGAAAAACACTATACTAGAGGTGTAAGAAAAATCAATTTTGATTTAAAAGATGCGAGTGCACCATATTGAACTGAATCAAATTATTCCGCTTGGAATATCTTGAGATTCATATCAAATTGTCATTTATTGGAGAGATATATCTTTGAAGGAAATGCCACATTGACAGTACTAACAAGTTCATTCGTATGAATGAAAAATGACAACAACGACAAAAATTAATTGCATCCTACCATCGAGCACTCAGCTGTACCATAGCTCGTTGAATCGGAATCCCACTGAATCAAACTGAATTTAATTTCACTTTGAAATCGAAACGTCCTTGAATCGTATCCCACCTCATGTATCGAGATCCATATGAAATAGTTTTTTTATTTGAGAGGCCGACACCCCTACTCTCTACATGTGTTGCTGCACCTTTTGTGATAAAATATCTGTTGCTGACTATGCCGTGGCACTGAAGCTATTCATTGGTCGGCTTATGGCCATTTGCATTGTTTCTCAGCATAAAGCTATGATTAAATTATTCAGGCAAAACTATATGCTTGTTTTCAAGACTAAATAAGTAATTTAGCTTTAGTTTGACAGTAAATCTCAACTGGGATTAGCATTAAACAGCTAGAAGCCACTTTAAAAACAAAGTTCATCTGCCGAACTGCTGCTTGTTGTGAAGTGAATTGAATCATTTCATGCTTGCTCACAAGTTTAAGAAAAAAAAAAGCCAAAAGACGGTTTCAGATCATATTTCAAACAGTACTGCATAATTCGTATACTTATGAACGATTTCAAAACACGTTATCATGAAACATAATCTTCTTTTATTATATTTAATTGTAAATGTTTTTCCATTATTATTTCTTTGTTGTCTGGTTGGGATAAATCATATGGTTCTTCTGCCTCATTGGGAATTGTTTAAGGTGCAAATACTGGTTCCTTGCACTTTAAAGGGCGAACAGAAAGTTTATTATTGTGGTTGTAGTTTGCAGTGGTGTGCACTTATATGGACCTAAATTACATGTTTCATCGACTGATAATGCGCCTCTGATGATTTGTGCTCGCGGTCTGCGAAGAAGCTTGGCACAGTCAGCCAGATCACAAGTGAGATGTGAAATTGAATACCCACTTTAAGTAGCAAAGTCTCGGTTTGCTTGTTTGTATAGGAAACTCGAAATAATGAGTCACCCCATTTATGATGCTGATGATTCATCAATGTGTTGTGTGGCTAAAAGTATATATATAAAACAAATTTTCCGCAGAATATTACCGGTACTTGATGATCATACTGTATATGACTGGAGTGACGCACTAGTTGTGTTCCATTCGAATAGAACCTGTTCAAGAAATTTTGAGTCACAGCAGAAAAAGTCCCACCTTTTATGAAGCAATGCTTTTGTACAATCCACTTGGCATTACAGTTACATGAGCCATATGTGTGTGTGTATATATATATATATATATACATACATACATATATATACACACACACACACACACACACACACACACACGCACACGAAGTTCATATTAAAAGTAATAAAACAAATAAAACATAATAAAACACATATCCCTTCAAAAATTTGCAGCATTTAAAATCCAGTATTTCTTTTCAAGCAATAAAAAAACAAGCCTTTACATAGAATGGAAAATTAAATTTCCCTTTTTTTTGTTTAAATAGAACACAGTTGTACATTCATAAAGCTGACAATTACAAAATAAAATTCCTATAAGCTTCACTTGCCAGCAGTCGCAGACAAAAGCAACAAAGGACATACAGTATAGTTCTTACCTAGATTTCATTATGAAATCAAATCCTTCCTCTCAAATAGCGAGAAAGAAAAAAAAGAAAAGAAAAAAACGAAAACTAAATTTGCTTGCCCACTTTTCATAAAATATTACTATTTACATGTTAAATAGTTTGTAAATTACTTTTCACAGACTCAAACAATTCCCATGAAATATTTCCCAAAGATTATGGTGCGGTCGGCCTCAAATAAACCATCATATAATTAGAATTCCTTAAAAGACTCTAAGTGGGCAAAATAATTGGTGTCTTAATTATTCAATCTATAAGGGGTATGATAACATTATATTATGACAAAAAATACAAATAACAGCGCATTAAAATCATGTGTGTAGATACTTAAAGCTTACTTAAGTGGCATCCTACAGATTTGATGCCATTATGAAACCTACTGTTGGAATGCACAACCTGCTCAATCCATTAATAATAATAATAATAACAATAATACAGACCTCGAACAAAAATGTACATCGCTGATGTTAATTTTACATTATAAATAGATCTATAGCGCCTGTATTGGATCCATGGGATTGTTTAGGTGCACTTAATGTTTGGACTGAGTTTAACTAATCTCGGTGAGCATGTGTCTGCTTATGTAATTAGTGGGAATTGAAGCTAAGGATGGGCATAAAAATCATGTCAACTACTTTGCCATCAACATTTGTTGACGGTCGCAGTCTCTGCTGAAGATTTTTGACGTCTTGTTGAGGCAAAATGAAGCTTTTTTTTTTTTGCCTGCCACCAGCAGAGGCGCTGTTGAGGTCTTGGGACGCAAGCTCCGGGAAGTCAAGCCCCTTCGAGAAGCGGTATTCTACTCAATAATACACTGGAAACAGAAATTCCGAATATACAGAGTGAGATTTCTCCCAACCATCCTTTCATTCATTTTCTATAACGCATGACCTCATTCGGGTTTCGCAGGTGAGCTGGATTGATTGCCAGTCAGTCACAGGGCACATTTAGACAAACAGCTATTCACACTCACACCTACGGGCAGTTTAGTTTTCACTTAATCTAACATGCAGTTGAAAATGGGAGGAAGCCAGAGCACTTGGAGAATACCGCAAGCACAGTGAGAACAACTTGAACCATGAAATCTCAGAACCCGGCGGATGTGCTGACCATCATTTATGAAAAAACACCTAAGTGGTCTTTTTAATTTGCCCCATAGTCGAATAAAGTAAATTTAGTCAAATGCCCATCCCCGATCAAAATCGTGCCCTCATTCATTGAACGGCTTAAGAGTTTTAAAACATAGCTCATCTTGGAGCATGCTAACAAACATCTTCTCATATGTCTTGCGTGTGGAGGTGGACCCGATAATGCGGCTGATTTTCTTCAGGCCCTTGAGAAGGTAGCGCGGTGCCCCTTTGCTGCGTAGCACCCTCAAACTATGAGATAGACTTTTCACTAGATCCAGATCAAAGTTGGCCGTCTTCCAAAGGTGGAGGAGCTGCAGGATGTACTGTTTGGGGAGACAAGTCGCCACGAGCGCCGACACATTCTCCCGGGGCACTTTTACTCCGGGCAGGCTGTTGGTGACCTCCAAGAGGTCGCCCAAAGTTAGGTTTTTCAGGCTGTTGCAGCGGGAGACCTTCCGCTCGCAGTGGTTCACACCTGTATGAAAAAGGACAAAAACCTTTTTGATGCTTCTGAAGTTATTTGGGTATCCATACACTTTTGATGCATAAACATTTGAGAGGACAGAAATGGATGCAGTTCTCTCAGCCCCGCATGTCATTTACTTCCTAATAGTGAAACAAAAGAGGGCACCAGAGACTGGCATCTGTACGGGTAGCCCACGAGAGTACTTGATACCTTCAAATAAAGCCAATATTCGCCTGATATGATGCCTCGTATCGGTACTCAGTAAAGTGTGAGCACTTGAAACCTTAGCGTTGATATTCCATTTTGAAGCCCTTCACTTACTTCCATTCAAAATGAATATTAAAAGTGGATACTCGGGTTGAACAAACAGCTTCTGCTGTCTACTGGAAGAGCATTTCATTTATTCCGACTGTCACTATGCAACGCTAACATAAATGGATGAACAAATAAGGAAGTGAAATCCATATGACAAACACCAAGGATGGCCTGTGATTGTCAAATTGACTGGAATGACAAGCAAACTAACGCTCGCACAGATGTAATTCATTGGCCATAAATATGTACAATGGTACGCACAGCTTAACGAGGTTCACAACTCCCTTGCTTCCTCAAAAGCAAAGGGCCGTCAATGAGGAGCATTGAGGTCATTGCTTTGACAACCGGGGCTGTCGTTTTGTACAATGTGCAATGATGTGGTTGAACACCGATTGCGAAAAGATTGCAAAACACTTCAGGACGTGAAAGATGAGACAAATCACTGTCACGCAGGCTGTGGCAAGTATATAGGTCAGGGGTGCCCAAACTTGTTTGAGCAAAGGTCTACTTTTCGATCAACCAACCTGCCGCGATCGACCAGTTACCGCACACACGCGCATATGTACGCACGCACGCACGTACACACGCACGCCATGATGAGCAATAGCCTGACACTGAGGCATGCGACGCACTTAGGCAGCCTGTTCACGACGGTAGCTCACGCGTACCATTTTAAAATGCTTCTCTTGGCCCTCCAGATTCCCATTCTTTGCCCGTCCCCTCGGTGAATTGTACAAAACAAACTGAATGAGAATAATGACTACTTTAAAAGATATAGCGCAACAACTCTGATCACAAGCTGCAACTGCAGACTGCTGAGCGCCAACAACTTCCGGTGACGCAGTCACACGTCACCATAGGTTAAAGATGACCTGCTTTATTTTATTTTCTTTTTTAAATACTTTTTTGTGCATTAACACAAAAATATATTACTAACATGCACAGAGACACAAATGTTTGTTTTTTTTCCTCTACACCCCTCGGATCGATGTGGGACCAGTCCTTGATCTACTGGTCGAACGCGATCGACGTAATTGGCACCCCTGATATAGCTCAACCTTTGGAAAACGGTCTTTTTTTTTCTTCTGAATAACAGTAAGAAGTTGAAGAATGACATTGATTTGCAATCGTCGCAGTAAAAGGAAGATGAGGAGAAGTGGTAGTATAACAGTAGTAATAGTTGTATGATGACGATTTTACGATTTTTGACATCTTAATGTACATTTTTTAGACTATGATGATAACAATGACGACAGGGACTACTACTACTACTACTACTACTACAATTATCAGTACTATGTCATATTTTTTTCTATGGTCCTGGAATTGTTCTGATTGGCTTCGAACCTATGCTGCACTTAATGTTCCACTCAGAACAAATGCAATTCATGGTGTCGCTCGTCTTTTTTTTTCAGTGAGTCTGCGAGAATTTCAAATGAGCCTATGAAATCCTTCAGGGACTGACAAAAAGCAAAAATAAAGAACCACTCCTTTATCATCTTACAATACCTTTTATGATGCCATACAGCTTGTCCTGGTCCTTGTTCTGCTGCCTCCACAGCCGCAGCAGCTGGAGGACTTGCTGCTGTGGAGAACAGGCCTTCTTCAGCCTCTCCACGCTCTTCCCATCCACCCTCCGGCCCGGAAGACTCTCCAGCAGACGCTCCAGGGGCACGGAGGACAGCTGCAGGGAGGCAAGCGACTGGAAGACTGCCTCTTCGCACAAAAGCACATCTGCGACAAGAGAGCAAATCCTTGTAATGAATTATTTCAAGATCTTTTTTGAATGGAGCAAGTTAACTCCTCAGAGTTCTCCTGTTTTGTATTTGTTCTTGATTTTGTAAAAATGTGCCGATTCTCCTCATATCATAACTTTCCAAGTCATACTCAAGTTTTGACCAGCTTTTGAATACTTTGCAGTATTACACATTGCAGTTATGTATCATTTGTAGCCTAACATTAACCACCTACTTTGAACCTGAATGTAGCACGTAATACACCATGTATCAGATTCAGATGTTGAAATTTGACCCTGTAGCAGCCTCTATTTTACTTTGCATCATTTCGGAAAGCACATTTGTGGTATCGCCCATCAGTCGTGATACAAAATTGTGTGACAACACATTCTTTCACTTATTTTGGATTCCAGTTATCTTATCAAACAGTTTTGTTTTCAGCAAATGACTTTTTTTCTCTCTCTGCTGAGCTCCGCTTCCGATTTTAGTGTACTTTCCATTTGACTGTGTTTTGAACTGCAATTGGAGTTTTACTTCTCCCACTCATTTGAAACACATTTAAGCGGCTTGAAACACTTTTTAAACATATTGTGAATGTAAAGTTTACAATATGTTTAAAAAGTGTACACGCTTGGGCAAAATTGTTGGTACCCCTCTTTTAAAGAGCGAAAAACCCACTGTGAAATACTGTAAATTGAATCTGACAAAAGTTATAATGATCAAAAATCAGACATTGCTTTTGAACTGTGGTTCAACAGAATGTTTTTTTTAACTCATCAAACAGGTTTGGACAAAAATTAAGGTGCTAGGAAAAAAAACAAGGAAATCATTTGACCATGAATACTGTAAAAAATGCTAAGTTGAATTTACCCAATTTTTTTCATGAAGTGGTTGCATGAAATAAATTCATTTGGCTCAAGATACATTTTTCTAAGTAAGACTATACATCCACTTGGATGTACCTGAATGAGGAAGGGAAACAATCACTTTCTAAAAATAGGTGAGCCAGACTATTTTTAACTTGTAACCCGTGTGGAGCGTGACACATATAAGGCAGCAACTGATCTCTATAATGGGCCAACTTTCCTAAAGGTCCCACCTGTGTGGCACAAAGTGTGCTGGTGGGCACAATCGATGGCCATAATTTGGTCCTGACTCCCACAGATGCTGTCTGAAGCGGACGTTCCCCATCTCAGTGTCTTCAGGCCTGAATCAGTGCAATTTCTGTGGGGTCGGCAAGGTTCTGTGGAGGAGCGGCTGCTGGAGAAATGACCGGCCGGGCATTGCTTGCACACAGTGTCACTCACTGGTGTACCTGTAAGGAACCAGAGACCAATCAGTCACGTAAACAAAGAGTAAGGTCAAGGTCAAGATCATCTTTATTGCCAAATATGCTTTATGTATGACATGCAGCATAAATGAAATTTCTACCTCTCCATCCTCATTGCCAACATGCTGTGCATTAAACACACAGCTAAAACAAGATAGCAGCTACACTGTATAAAAAGACATAATATGTCATCTGAACAGTAAAAACAGTATCGCCAATACAAACAATATAAACAATGGTTGTGGCTATTGTGTATAAGGAATACAGGACCAGAAATAGCTTTACATTCAACTCCCGTGAAAGGTAAACTTGCATTTGTCAAGTGACAACATGGAATTCTGATTCACCAGAATTCTAAAGTTGTGTTTTGAGACCTTTATTGAGCCAAGGCGCAAAATCTCACAGAACAAAAATATGTCAAGTGGATACATAGATCAATTCCTACATGTCCGGTGTAGCATTAATTGTACCGCCAGCCACTATCGCTGGCATACAATGCTCAAGAAATATGACATCGTGTAGTTTCCCAGAGCACACGTGATGATCATTACTGTGCGGCATTCTGGTTGGGGATAACTGTTCTAGAGCACTAAATCAGATGAGATGCTATTCTCTTGATTACAAAGCAAATGATTTTAGAAGCTGTTATTTCAGGTCAAATGACTACGTATTGCTGTGGTAAGGTGCGGTGAAATGATTCTAAGAACATCAACCACAACATGTGACCATGGCATCATGAGAGTGACTCACATCGCTGCGGCAGCTACTTAATTGGCTTTTTTCATGACAGTATGTCTAACTGTAAACAAGAACAATGTGTAATTTGCCTTAAATTTAGTGGAACCTCTTCAGTCAAATGCCTCAGAAGGTGAGCCATTTGACCAGTGTTGACCGAAGTGTACCAGTGATGGCAAAGAATGAACAGGAAAATGTGATTTATGTCGGTGAACCGTAAACAAATCTCTGTCCTGGCTGCTCATTACAATTCTCAATGTGACATGCCACAAGTAGAATTCTAGGAAACAAATTGTTGTTTTTGAGATTGAATTACCGGTGGTTAAGTTACTTTTGGCACTAGTATGACAGTTAAGAATGTTGCAAAAAGTCGGTTTGACTTCAAAGTTAGATGTGGGCACACTTATGACTATAAATTGTATTATCGACTTGTACACTTTTCTTACTTGCAAATGTGAAAATGTTCATAACTGTACAAATAGTGAGGCGGGCCCCCATGGGGTGGGGGACGTCAGGGGGGCTAGTGTGACCCCAGGTGTATATATCCATCCACCATCCAATTTCTCATCTGCTTAGTCTTATGAGGGTTGCGGGCGTGTTGGCGCCTATCCCAGCTGTCTTCGGACACCCTGAACCAGTTGCCAGCCAATCACAGGATAGATGTGACACATAGATGAACAGCTATTCGCACTCACACCGACAAACAATTTAGAGTGATCAAACAACCTACGGTGCGTGGTTTTGGAATGTGGGTGGGAACCGGAATACCCGGAAAAAACCCACACAGGCACGGGGAGAACACACAAACTCCACACAGGAAGCCCGAAAGAATTTTTCTTATTTTTATGTCTCTTATTTTCACAACTAGGAAAAGTTTTTACAATCTTTCTTGCGGATTATCGTCTGATAAGTGAAGCATCTCAACAGTTTTAATGTAATTAGCAACGACATTATTTAAGATATTTTAGCTTTTCAACCACTTTTATACTCACATGATGAAAAACATCACTGATGTCGATCTCCACTTGATCATAGTTTTGAAAATAGCAAATTTTGAAGTCAAAATTGATTAACATTTAATATTTTTTGATTTCTGGACAAGTCAATTTGGGTCGATTCATGACAAAACGTGAAATCAAATCCTTAATCCTTATTTAATTCTTACAGGGCTAATCTTATTCACAGGAAAATCTCTATTCAGTGACATGCTCTATCACAATATGTAGCTGTTTTGAAATGGTTTTTTTTTGTAACATCACGCAACTTAGGTTTTGGGCAGGTGCAATCCTGGTGTGACTGCCATGTGTATGTCTGATGTTGCTCGCTGTGGTCCAAGACATTTTCAGGAAGTTTGTGTGGAAGCTGAGACATGGAAAATTATCGGAAACACTGCTGTGAACATGTTTTCTTATATTTTTTTCGGGTAACCAAAAGCCACCTTGTTGTAATTTAGGCCAAAGTGTAAAATTATTTGCCTTCTAAGCACACAAGTCACATTGTGTGCCACAATCACATCCTCCTTTTGCTTCTTGAAACTTAACTAAAACTGCATTAGTCAGTTGAAACATATGTTTCAATTAGTTTTGTAAAGTGTGGTAGTTAACATGCTGGGCTCTATTTTCGTGACCAGCACAAGTCTAGCACAAAATACGGTCTAAATGTGCACAAGGGTTACATCTTGACGCAGTTGGAAATATATGTTTTGCGCGCATGTGGTCATGAACACAGATGACTTGATTCACTGCCAATCGAAGCGGCTCCTCTTATTCCGTTCAAAATAAGTGCGTGAGAGGCAACAAGTCCTTGACATGGTGGACAGACATATTTTGCTGGAGGTGGAAGCATGCCAAGTATGTTCACACAGAACTGTAAGCGCTCCTCCACCATCGGGTGATCCAAAGTTGGTCAGGAAGATCACAGATCTGTTCAGCAGGCACTTGGAGACTGCCTTACACCCCAATTGTGCGTGTCCATTCAAATCCCCAAACAAGCTCATTGAGGCTCGCGTCGGCACGAAAATCAGGACATGCCAGTTTTTTTGTTTTGTTTGTTTTTTTTTTTTTTTTGCTCAAGGGCAGCTGTGTTGTCTACGAATATAGGGCCTGCTGTGTGTTTTTGACACTTTTGAGAGAAAAATCCAATCTGCTATTCAGAGTCAACACCAAAAGGGCACATTAAGTGGCCAAGAGGCTGAGTCACATCAAGGCGGCAAAGCGTTCGTTTTTTTTCTCGTGGTCTTAAGGCTTCAACCACATTTGTGCCCATTACATAAGGAGCCATGGCAGCTTAAGGAAGGGGAAACCCCAGTCATGTCCCACGTCGAGTAAAGTCGTCTCCTATTTTACTATGGCGGCGTGTGAATTACAGGGTAATAAGAATAGAGGGAAAATGTCACAGGCGCAGGAAGCGAGGCATACTGTGTCGAATGCAAAATGAAAAGATGAGATGAATTTGTTTTTCCAAAATAATAGCTGACGCAAACCACGATGACCCAATAAAGGACTCCAGTCTGCGAGTTTCAGCGTAGTCTACAAAGTCAAAGGAAGAACTCATTAAGAAACATAGGAAAAGGATTTTTAGCAAGGATCAAACTTGCATATCAGCATAAAGTGAGGGCACCTGATAGTAAAGTTATCAAATCAGTAAAAACAATCAGATATTCTGATATGCAAGTACCATGTCAAAATGCACCAGCTGAAATTACAAAGATTAACTGGATCCTGAGTTCTGAACGTGTCTGCTAACCAAACATGAATGCTTTGAGGAAGTTATCAGTTGGGTGTGAGGAAGTTCAACCATTTGACGACTGTCTGACATTTTTTGTTTTGTTTTATTCTTACAAAGTACTGGAAAAACAAAATCACAAGTGAACGCACCATACAGAGCAGAGCAGACAACACTTTGAAGGCTTCTGTCAATGATGATAGCAGGCCGAGTCCAAACTAAAGGTCCCATCTATAAAACATTCAAAGCAACTATCTATCTATCTATCAAAACCACAATAACAAAACAAATACATAGGGCCTGCTCGAGTCATCGGCTTTTCAAACTTTGGCCAAAATAATCGCCCAAATGGCTAATGTTTGCCAATTGTTTTTACCATTCTGCACTCTAACCATTTACAGCAGCTGTATGCAAGCAACAGTGGTCTCATTTCACAAAAAAATAGATCCCCCAACCATGCATCCTTAAATATATACAATAAATTTGTTGACCATTCTATGAACCTGACTATGGTGGTCGGCAAGGGCAAACGGGCTGCAAATGGCCGAACGAAAGTTGCAAAAAAAAAAAAAAGACAAACAAATGTGAACTAAAAAAAATACACAAAACAACTGCTAATCAAAAGCGCTGCAAGTAAGAAATGCTTCAAATGGTCAAATGCTTTAAACACAGGAATGTTGCAACAAAAAAACCAAAGACATAAATGCAGAAAAACACAAATGCAAGAAAGAAATGCTGCAACCACAGCAACAAAGTGGAAGCAAACATCACAAACCACAAAACAAATGCAAACCCCCCCTCCCAACCAAACAAAAAAAAGCGTCTTACGCTGCCACTCACTAAGATCGCCTATCTTGAGTACATAGATTTTCCACAGCGTTTTGACGGTATTTTCTGTCTCTCCGGCAAAAATGCCCCCGTAGATGGCATTTGGTTGTACCAATATATCTGGGAGAATCACTGCATGCACATTTCATCGGTAAGAAAGCAGTTTAAAATGTTCTCTTTTAAGGTACATCTCGGTGTGCTATTCGAACGTTTGTCTGCATCACGTTATTAACAATGAAGTGAAAGCAAAGCCTACTGAGACAACAGTTGGAACGAAATGTAACTCTTTTCTTGTTCAAGTTATGAATCAGAATACTGTGGGTTCCTGATTCATGATCCTGGTGCAATCTCCTCTGAATGGTGGATGCAAACAGTGAAATGTGTTATTTGATAGGGTCTCATTACTCCATGCGGGGATGCTAGCATAAAACATGCATCGATAAGAGTGTTTTCAGAATAGGAAAAAAAAAAAACAGCTGTCACGATGGCAACGTAGGATGGCTGCTCTCAAACTTCAGCCGCAAGGGGCCGTTTCATAGTCCATTCACATATACGACATGACGCAGGGTGTCAACCCTGCTCTCTGGTTGGAGACTTGCGATGCATTGTCACACTGCCAGTCCTGACTTGATTCATCTAAATAGCAGACATCGGGGACCCAAGTCACAAGAGTGAAGTTCTTGGGTCTTGCTAAAGGTTAAAACTTAAAAAAACAAAGAAACACAAAATCTACTTGATAAGAACACTATTTGTAGTTTAGGAAAAAAAGAGTTACTTTTGTCTAATAAAAACAATAAAGAGATTTTTTTCCCCCCCAAAACACTATACATCCAATTAGATTACTTGACATTTAATTACACTGAGCTGACCTGCATAATATACAAACAATTTTATCCTGTGAAACTGTCTTTGCATCCATCCGTTTTCAATAGCGTCTTTATGGTCGTAGATGAGCTGGAGCTGACCCCATCTGACTTTGAGTAAAAGGCAGGGTAAATTAAGGTAAATAAAAGTCTTCAATTAATCTAACTTGCAGGTTTTGGGAATGCGAGAGTAAGCCGAAGTACCTGAACAAAAGAAATTCCAAATAGAGCCTTCTGGACTGTGAACCAGACATGGTAAACATGTAGTCCCCCATACTGCTTGAAAATTACAACATGTAACAAAGAAAAAAGTGTAGTAGATTGACACCACATAGCACTTTGTAACAAGTTGTCATAAACAATCAGTGTAACCCGGCCGTTTGTTACTTGTTTAAGTTCAAAATGCCCATGACAATTTCTCTTACCTAAAGCTGTCACTCCATAGCCGGGTGGGCAGGAGCTGTGTGTGATGCAAAACTCGACCACGAGGTGGAAACCTGCAGCACACTCACACACCCGGTCGTGGGTGCTGTTGCACTCCTGCTGCACCAGCTGTCTCTCTTTGCACACCTAAACACGAAGCACACAGCTGTAGCACTGTCACGGGCCTTTAAGTGGGGAATGTGAAAATGATTTTCTTGAGACACGGTGCAGGCCACAAAGGTGGTGCTTTACAAACCACAGGCTTAGACCCACATTTTCATAAAAGACATGCAGTAAAACCACTTTGTGGACTTCTGAAAACATCACAGTATAGAATAGTCACGCGCATTCGGAAAAGATCCGAGGGAAACCATAAAAGTGTCGCGTAAAAAGAAAGCTGAATAAAAATATGAAGGCGACGTCGGAGGAATTTCTGAGCAGTTCACATAAGTGAAGTAACAGACTTGAGTGTGTGTGTGTGTGTGTGTGTGTGTGTGTGTGTGTGTGTGTGTGTGTACAGGAGTCAAATAGAAAAACAGGTCTTTCTGAAAACTACAGTGAACAGACAAATTTACCCTTTTAACCTCAATCTACCCAGAAGTACCTACACTGTACGTGGGCAGACATGCTGGTGCTTGTGTTTCAAAAGGACTCTGGTAAAAGTAGAACTACCAAATCAACTTCTGTTCTGAAAGGGGAAGTCAAGTCAAACGTGTTCTTTTGAATAGTATGTTCCCTGCTGCGCCACTAGTCTAAACACAATATTTTGATTAATATCACGTTTGTGGAATATGACTTTAGCAGCAAAATCCATTTGGTTTTATCCATCCTAGGACGGGGGCCATTTTGCCACTTCCTGTCGACTGAAACTGACACAACAGTGCCAAACCATGTTCACGTCAGAGTTCATTCAAGGACGCAAATGTTGTCAAAACATCAAAACATTCGCCTAACGTTCGCAGACGTTCACCAACATTTTCAGGTATTTCTTGTTGCAAGGAAACCGTGATCATTTTCAATGCAAATGTTCAGCAAACAATTGCGACCTTGAATGAACCCTGCCGAATATATATCTATATCTACATCTATATCTATCTATATATATAGAAGGACGCAAATGTTGTCAAAACATCAAAACATTCGCCTAACGTTCGCAGACGTTCACCAACATTTTCAGGTATTTCTTGTTGCAAGGAAACCGTGATCATTTTCAATGCAAATGTTCAGCAAACAATTGCGACCTTGAATGAACCCTGCCGAATATATATCTATATCTACATCTATATCTATCTATATATATAGATATACCGTATATATGTATAAATAAATAAATCTATCTATCTATA